GCAGCCGCCCGCCCGCCACGGTCCCCGGCGCGGTCCCGGCGCTGCCCCAGTAAGTTGCCAAGTGCGCGGCGGCGCGCAGGGCGGCCTGGCCGGGGGCCGCGGGGGAAGCGGTGGGGCGCAGAGGCCGCAGCCAGCCGCGCGCAGCTCTCCGGAGGCCGCGCTCCTGAGACTGGTACAGGGGCGGCCGGGACCCCATCCGCGGGGCTGCGTCCCGGGGTGCCGTGTCCTCTGCTGGTCGGTCCTGGGTCCCGAGCCAGCAGATCTGCAGCGGCCACGCGGGTCGAGGAACTTGGGATAGGGCCTGACACGGGGACTCCGCGGATGTCTTTAGTCAGCCTAGTTCTGGGGAGCCCTGGACGCCCCTCTCGGTGAAAGCAGTCTGTCTCCACGCCCTGCACGCTCAGTGGTCCCCAGAAGTTTCCTTTTGCTCCCTCGGGATTCTTGGTTTAAATTTGGAACTTGGCTTGGATCGCTGGAAGCCATTTGCCATCCTTCTGGGGATCTGGTAGGACAGGTAAAATGACCCAGTGGGTGTTTGTATTGGCATTTTAAAGAAAATAGGTGTAATATTAAACATGTTTGAGTTGGTCTGTGCCTTTTAAGCCTATATTTTATGGAACCGTCAGCCTTGATTAACTTAAGATCTTCATTGGCTTCAGAGCGCAGATTCCACTGCAGACTATTCCACCTCCTATTTTCAAACATAATGTATGGTGTAAGGTAATCTTAACAGTTATTTCAAAGAAATATGCGAAACGTAACATGCGAGGTCATATATGGCTTCCAAAGTAGAAACTACCTAGATGTCAAGAGTTTTTTTTTTAAAGTTCAGCTGATTCAAACTCCTGTTTATGCAAAGCTGTCTGCAAAGGTTGTGACTTCTTTGGATCTAATGGATGTTTGTGTTCGTTTTAACGAAGGGATATGGTCAGCTCTTACCTAGAATGGAGTTGTCTGAATCTAGGGCTTGGGCCATGAAATTGAGTTTGTGACCTAAAATTTTTTCATTCTTCCCTGAGCCAGACTTTTAAAAAGTGTCTCAATCCGTATTAATAATAATTCTCTTCTCAGGAAAGTGAAATATTTTCTTTGTTGTCTTTGCCTAGACCATATACAGGTTAAGACTATTCCCTCTTTACATATACGTTCTTGTGCTATTAGATTCTTTTATCCTATACTTGCACTTCAGTGTAATGTGAACAAATGACATCTCAGTGCAGAAGAACATGATTTCTTTCTTTCCTATGCTAAAAAGTAACCGCTAATGAATGTCCTTCCCTCAAAGCATTTTAATCTTTTAGGATATGTTTTGACCTGGAAGTCCAGTCCAAAGCTTCGGTATCTGCAAAGATTCAGTTTTCAGAATCGCTGACCTTGGTCAGCACATCAGCAGAGCCCCTTTGATTCCAATCTCCAGCCATTGTCTGGAGAGTCTTAACTCCACTGGACTTGGAGTTAAGAGTCTTGAAAGAATAGCGGTTACACGGAGAGATAGGGTAGTTGTCGTCATTTTAAAGGTCTGAAGATACCCCGGAGTTTTTAGTGTATATTTCCATATCTTTGGGGGGAAGATTTCGGAAGGATTCTAAAGCTTGTGTTTCTTCATCACAAGCTTCTCACTTTGCAGAGGCTAGCCCCTCCTGTCCCTTCTAGGTGGGTCACTGCTTGCTTTTTGTCCTCCTTTCCTGGCTTTTATTGTTTTTTATGCTTGTTTTAGCCAGAGAGCCTCATAATTGGCATTTCTTCACCTTTTGGTCTTTCTTTTTAAAGTATTTTTCCTTCGTAGGTTTTCTCTTCTAACATGTCTGTTTAACCTAATTAATGAATTAATGTTATTCCTTCTGTTTATTTGCCCCTGCTCTGTGTGTGTGCATGCGTGTGTATGTGTGCATGTGTCTGTCTGTGTCCTGAACTATCTCCTGGTTTTATTTTGGTGCCCTTCCATGATCAGCTTTCAGAACCAAATTTTGAAAACACTTTCCTGTTGCTGTTTGCTTCATTAGGTCCCCAGACAGGATATGAACATGATTTTGAAGCCTGGGTTCTTAATAAGCAATTTATTGGATGCTAAACTTTTGGAATAAAAGGAAAATTTTCAGTTGACTGTCTCTATGTTTTCACATTAAGTGCATCATTAAATGCTTTGCCATGCAACTTCATGCTGAGAAGCTCAGTCGACTGTAAGATTTCACTCTGGTACTTGTCAAAATGGCTTCAAAAAATCTAGCTGTTTAGCTTATTCTGAGCCTTTATGAAAATATTCAAAGCTGTGTAAATATATCCTTTAACAGCAACAGAAATTAATGAAATTCTTCCTTTCATCATCTATTTTAGTGACTTTTTGTTCTGGTCCCTCATACAGTGTCACCTAATGTATGCTCAGTATGCCTTTACTGCCAAGTAAATGGCATGGACTTCCACAGTTTGGGAAAGCATGCTTTGTCTGTATTTAATACTTTTATCCCTTCATTGAAAACTCTATACCAGATACTGGGTGACCCAAAAGCTTAAAACTGCAATCCCAGAGGGATTCTGAAATCATTTCTTCTTTTTGGAAACTCTCCAGTGATGGGTTTTATGACTGGATTGTTGTTGTTTCATTGTCACTGAGTAAAAATAACACCAAATCTCAACAGATTATCTGAGTCCCCTGTGTGCCATTTGATGAACATGCTCTGGAGTGTGATGACAGTGCTCTTTCCTCGTCAAACACATGTACTCTATGCATTTTTGTGTCAGTGGTAGTCACAAATTGATCCGGAATGCTCTTATATTTCCTTTTTACTTATTCTCTGGCTCTTGTGTGATAAAGGTAGGTGTGGCTGTGCAAATGTGAATGCTATTATGACAAACCTAAATGGGAGTTCATTTGCACCAGGCAACAGCTAGTTAAAACAATCCCAGTTTTATCATCCGGTCATTTTCATTGTCCAACTCAATAGACATGATTGTTATATGCTAATCTGTGAGAGCAGAGCAGTGTACCATTGCTTTTCATTTGCTTTTGGATGGTTTTACACTTCAAATATTTATGAGAAGGATCTCTGCTGCCATGATGGTAACTGTCTCAGTGGTAAGTATGGTTAGTATTGACTTAAGAAGGAACAGCTGGGTGTGGTGACACACACCTTTGATCCCAGCACTCAGGAGGCAGAGGCAGGAGACCCTCTGTGGGATCGAGGCCAGCCTGGTCTATATAGGCTATGGCTACCAGGGAGACACTGTCTCAAAAAGACAAAAGAGAAACGCCACCATGTTGGAGATGGTTCAGTGGTTAAGAGCACTGGCTCCTCTTGCAGAGGACCTGGATTCAGTTTTCTGTCACCACATGGTGGCTAACAACTCTCTGTAACTCCAATCCCAGGCTATCTGATACCCTTTTTTGACTGTGGGCATTGCACAACATGGGTCCACTTACATACATGCAGGCAAAACATCCTTACACATAAAAAATAAATAAAAATCTTTTTCAAAAGATATGTTGATGCAGCTTTTGTTTAAAAGACTGGCTTTGAATGTGTGGATCATGTCTTCTCTGTTCTCAATTCAACTTTATTTTGGCTATCTGTCTTTAGAGAGTCCTGGTTCTTCATTTTACTGGATATGCTATTGGAAACCCCGAGTTTATTTATTGAAGGACTATTCATTCGAGAATGGATCATCAAGCTGGAGGCTGTCATATTCCATTTTATGCTTTATGTTTATTTTCTTGCAAAAAGTAAAGATGAAAATAAAATAGATAAAATGAATTTAAAAATGAAAAATATGCCAGCATGTGCTTGGAGAATAGAGCAGTGATGCTGTGTGCTGGTGCCTGTCCCCAGAACTGAGCCTAATGGGAAGACCCACAACAAGGTGAAGTCCCTCAAGGCAAATGACAGGACCCATGGCCTTTCTGCAGGTTTTAATGCCATTTTAGAAATACTTGTTAAATAATATATAACAAATACTTCTTATGGCTCTTACTCTTGCTAGATTCTTACTAGTTTTTCCCACTGTGGGGAAAATTCTCTTCTTTCCATAACTCTCTTTCTTTCCTAACTTGAAGACTAATTTTCATTTAATTTCATCTAATACAATGCTGCTTATGCCATCAAAACTCTCTTCTTCCCAGGGGCAGCCTTGTGGTTACAGCACACGGTGCTTGATGGCACCCTGGGATGCTGACCAACACTGAAACTGAGACTTTCATTTGATGGTATTTGGCTCACTTTGTTTGCGGGGGCGGGGGGGAGTCATATCTAAGATAATTGAATCTGTTGTGCTTTAAACAGGTACTTTCTCTTTAAAACTTACTTGTTTTACTTCTTTGTAGGCAGAAAAATATTGCATAAGCTGATTCCTTGATCATAATTAGAAGATAAAAATTGTTTGATGAGAGTTTTTTCATGCCTTGGCTGTGATACCTAGGTGTTGTCTTGGTGAATTATGAGGACAAAGATGATGGTTACTGCTGGAATTACCCATTATTTTAAATTGAACCAAAAAAGAAAATTAGTCTTTCCAATGTCAGCATTGTTTGTTTATTTAATAGGAACTTGGGGAAAATTTTTTAAATGCAATGTAATTTCTATTTTTAAAAAATCCTAACCTCTCTAGAACTTAATTGAGCAGTAGACTTTAGAAATCATATATGTATTATTTACAGTGTCTGTTACCCAAAGCATGTGGCTCCTTATGGTTGTTTCCCCCTGCTCACCATTCATGCTGTCCAGTTTCTAGAAGAGAGTCTGCACCAGGTAAAAGCAACTTAATATGATACTTATGATGCTAATATGTGAAATTTACCTCTACTACTATGGTAAATGCAGCCAGATTACTCAGTGCAGTTTTCTAAGTTGGGATTCCCTTGAAATAGGAAATAAGGCTTTGCCACTTTGTTCCTAAGAATACCTGTGAGACATGTTAGGCACTTTCCATCATGAGAGATTAGTTCATCCACTGTGATTGAATGATGCTGTATGTAACTATTTCCTGGAGTATGGTAAGCATACAAAGAACTGAAGATCAGCAGTTCTCTACCCTAAACTTCTAAAAAGTTTGCATTATATTCTTGACAAGAATTAAATGCCCAATTTTAGGTATTATCATTACTGTTACTAGTATTACTTTTAAATTGCTACTAATATAATGGTTCTTCAGTGAAACTTGGATCCCTAGGAATTGAGTTTTGACTGAGTTTTTCAACAACATTTGTGTTTGAGAAAACAATAATGCTTAATGACCTAGCAAAATCATCACGGTTTATTACCCCAGGCTGCTAGGAAATTATATTTAACCTAAAATTCAAGGTATGCTGTAAGGTCTGAAAGTTAAAATACATTAGAAGATTATATTTTGGCTAGAAATTGTGAAGAGTAAAATTCCAAATTGCAATAAAATTATGTTTCATTTTCTTCTTTTCCTCAACAATAACAATAAAACAAAACAACAACAAACTCACACAAAAACAAGGGTTCCCTATATAAGGCTGACACTGAAATTGCAATCCTCCTACCTCTGCCCCCCGCCCCC